TGTATATGATATCTAAATATACAAGTGCTCCTTTCAACTAATAAAATAACAAATCAAATGCAACAAACAAAAAATTTTATACAAGTCTGATAACATTTTATTTGGAATATATTATTAAAAGATACGTATTACATAAAAGTATCCGCGTAGCGATAAGTCGGGAGGGTCCCAACTGCCTACATTCTCATTTGCCGACAGCTTCATTTGCCTACAACATTTTGCTAACAGCTTCGATTGCCGACATTCCCAATTGCCTACAGTGCGATTGCTTACAAGCATTATTGTGCACATGCAAAAATTAAAAATACAAACGTACGTTTGCACATATGACATTATTGCGCACATACACATTGCACATATACACATTGCACACATGGTATTATTGCACACACAAAATAAGGAAATCAACAGATACACAGTACTTAAAGGTTTATAATTAGACGATTTCACGTGGGTTTGCAACTTTTCGCGCGGAGCGAGGTTCAGCTCACATCACCCGGTGCTTCAGATGCGAAACGACGTTTATAATTATACGATTCCACGTGGGTTTGCAACTTTTCGCGCAAAGCGAGGTCCAGTTCACATCACCTTGTGCTTCAGATACAAAACGAGGCTTATAATTATACGATTCCACGTGGGTTTGCAATTTTTCGCGCAAAACGAGGTCCAGTTCACATCACCCTGTGCTTGAGATGCGAAACGAGGTTTATAATTATACAATTCCACGTGGGTTTGCAACTTTTCGCGCAAAGCGAGGTCCAGTTCACATCACCCTGTGCTTCAAATGCGATACGAGGTTTATATCATAAAGTCATGTGTGCAATTTGTATGTGCGCAATAATAATGTCTTGTGTACAAACATACGTTTGTATTTTTAATATTTACATATGCACAATAATGCTTGTAGGCAATCGAAGCTGTCGGCAAAATGTTGTAGGCAAACAAAGCTGTTGGCAAATGGGAATGTAGGCCGTTGAACCCTTCTCGATACGTCCCTTCGCGCCGAGTTGTTCTCGACCGTCAGATAAGAACTACGTGGCGCATGTTTGCCGTGCCGAAGAGATTAAAAAATTACTAAATCATTTACTTTTTTAAATATTATACAACATATTGACATTTAGGATCAATTAAGGAACTCAAAGAAGAAATAAAAGAAAAATTTAAGAAATTATAATTTATTCAACAAAAAATAGTTATCACTTTACTGCCATTATGCATCTTTTTCATATTACTGTGCCTTTTTCATACTACTTACAAGTAAAGGTAACATAATTCACATTTCTAATATGTAGAATATTTTGAATCGGAAATATATAAAAACTGCATCCTTTTTTTTTATTTATATAAATTCCGTATTCTGCATCCTGAATTCTGTATTTAAGTACACATAATTATAAAAAATTAAAAATTAATCTTAATGCAGGACTAATTACTGTCATTTTTAGATTATAATATACTTTCTTAAATCTTAAAAAAAGTAATTTTTAATCACATTTAGTAAAATTTTAAAAAGATAAACAAGTAGTTTATTACATCATTCAAAGAATTATTAACTCAGTTGTCATATGTATTATAAATATTTATGATTATGGATAATAAATAAATATTTTATATTTTATCTAGTACAATATTTTACTTGCCTTTTCACAATTATAGCTTAAAAACAGTTTTTAATTTAATAAGACGTATCTTATTATAAATTCAATAAATGTATGATTAATCCGTGTTGAATGGTGTCTGTGTCTGTTTGAACTCAATTTATAAAAGACTAGCGTGACTGTTCAGCATTTGGTGACGTGCGTGTTAAAGCAATAACGAAATGAGTGTAATAATAGTAAAAAATAATTTTTTTATGTATTCTAAAGAGATGAAAAAAATGTTATTTTAATAATTATTAATGTTCAATTATGTCATAGACTAAACTAGCTTTAAAGATTAAAAAATCATTACAATAATAAAAATTTAGTTTGAAATGATTATGCATGTAAAGATGCCATGAATTCGAATTGACCTCAGTTTGTACAGTTGCTGAAATTGCTACTTTCATTAAATGACATGATTAATGTAAATTATCAATTGTTTTAGATGGTCGATTGAACTATTTTCTAAATATCATAACTTATTTTGGCGGTATTTAAATTATTTACAGCGATAATATGGTAATGCAATATATGTCTGCTATAAAAAATTAAATCTATTATTTATGTAACTTACAAAAAAAACTTAAGAAAGGTTCTGCAACCTGGAAATTCTAATAAATCTGAAACTTTGCAGAAATGTAATGAATATGAATCTAATCGTAAAGCTAATTGGTTTAGATTTTTTATAATTTTTAGATTGTCCAACTTTCCTTGTCAGGCGCCAACAGTGCTGCCACATAAAATACTGATTATAAAAGACTGTCAAATTTGCATGCGTAGCTAGCTGACACTTTTCACCGCCGTCTAATGTATAAAAATTGTAACGCACACGACGACGATGACTTGATTAGACTTTTTGACTTTTGAACTGTTACATCTTTGTTTATCGGGGAGGAATCGGGAACAAAAAACATTTTTCTTATATAATTTGAGTATGCACAATCAATTGTTATCAAATCAGTTGACCCAGATGTTATTGAAATCCAATAACTTCGGCTCTTCTCAACTCGTTTGCTCGTGTACAGATACACGGTCGCTTTTTACACATTATACGCGTGAACTTGACACGAGACACGTCCGTGCTTTTTTTATGTAGATGCAAGATAAATGTGAAATATACACGGTGGCTTTTCTGCGTACTGCGCGTTAACTTAACGCGAGACATGACTATGTTTCTTGATGTAGTAATAGGATGTGGATATTAAAGATAAGTACACAATCGCATTTTTGCGCGATGGCATAAAGGTGACGCCAGACACAATCGTGTCTCTTGGTGTAGAAACAGGATGTAGATGTCAAGGATGAATATATACAGGATGACACATTATAATCTATGTATAGATTTTTCTCCAAAAGTTCAAGTAAAAAAAGAATTATGTACAGAGGTTAATTTGTATCGAGAAAAACATGACATACTGCACGTGTTTGTCTTAAGAGTGGAGGCATTTTGGACATTTCAAGATTAATTTCATTTTTTTAAACAATGCCATCTATTTTTTTATCATAAATCAGTCCTTTCTATTATTCTGCATATAAAAGTGTTAGGGTAAAATATTATAAAATGAATAGTTCAGAAGATATTTCGATTTTTCGTACCTTTTATTTAACGTTTGTTATGAAATTCAATTAACTAAAATCTAATATGGATACTACTTGAGAGATTATCGTAGACATAACATGAAATAATTAAACATATTTATTTTATGATAAATGTTCAAATACACCTCGTTTGTATTTGTGTTTGCCTCGGACATCATTACATTTTTAAACATGAATCTTGAAGCTATGTTGAACTGCTATTATTATAATATTATTATTATAATATAACTATTATAATTAATATTAGCATTTCTGGGGTGATACGTTGAACTACATCTGAAATATTTTTTTTTATAACTTCAGAACTTGTTGATTTAATAAAAAGAAAAATAATTAATATTTTGCCGTAGATTATTGTAAAAAAAATATTGGACAAAACAATGCTTATAATATGTTTATAGTATTATAACTTTTCTGCAATAGTCGCATTTCTTATTTTATAATTATTAATTGTGCACAAATATGTTTAGGTATTTTTTATAAAAATAAGAATTAAAAATTGTACTAAATCACGAATGGAAGTATGTAAGTTTTGTTTAGTACAATTTTTAATTTGTATTTTTTTAAAAAGCTTTTTGATTTTTAATTATGTATTCAGTCAAATAGTTAAATTTCTAATTATTCTTATTTTAAGGTTTCTTTCCTTATAAGATCGAATTCTATGGTTCTGTCAATGTTTTATTTTGTAATTAAGAATCAGAGAAGAATTTTATTTATTTATAACGAATAACTGACTTATTTATGGAGAATGACTTCTGATAGATGATTACCTTCATCTTAGTCCTTGTGAATAATGTTTCAATATGCGTGCGAAAGGAAAAAACTAGATTCGTTGTTTTTCTGGTTTAAAAAACAATTCTGTTGGCGTTAAAAATTTTATTTTCGATACACTGAACAAGGCTAAAAACTATGGCCGAAACGTATATACTTAACATGTAAATAAACAATTTGAGCACGTTAAACTAGCGTTCTGGCTCTAATGGCTCATATTTTTTGAATCTTTTTATTTTATTATTAATATGTTTTTATGTTTCCAATCCAAATATTTATCAAATCAAATTAAATAAGCACAGACATTTAAAATAAAAAAAAATTTACATTGCAAGAAATGAACAATAATGAAAAAATTGTTAATTATAATTCAATTATTGAAAAAATTGTTAATTAAATTGTTATATTGTATATCCAATGTATGATAAACGAATACATATTGTAATACATATATAAAAAATGTTATATTATATCAACAAATTTTAAAAATGTATACATTATTTATAATAAATGTATAAAGTAAGTTATAAATTATCTACATTATCATATAAAATATATGATATTATACATTATCACACATTAAATATGTCAGTATATAAATAGAAAGAATTAATTAAATTATGAGCACTTCAGATGTATACTATGTTGAGTCACATGAATATAACTTTTCAGAAGAAAAATCTAAAGAGATTTTTTGCTTTTGATATACTCTCAGTAAAATGCTTATGATGTTTTACAGATCTGTGATTAATGAATGATTAATGAATGATTATGTGATGCGATTTTTTGAATGTAATGACCTACAATTAGTACTGTTCAATGTCATCACATTATGACTTTGCATTTTGCGTTATTGCACATTGTACGCTACGCAATAACGTCACATTCAATATGCATTTACAATATTTTTTATTGATTGTATCAATTATGTTGTCATATACTGTGCCTATATAAAGTCTGTCTTGTATTGGCGTCCAACAGACACTTAATAGCAGTGACAGTGTTTAAGTCATTACATTGAGATTGTTACAAAATTATTGGAAGTTGTGTACACGATTTTTGGTACAAAGAATTAATATTAAAAACTTTCTTAGAAATAAAGCAATATCTTACGGTGAGATCCTTAGAAAAATAACGTAATAAAATAATTCTTAACAAGGTAAACTCTACATTCTTATTTATACTAACAATAGTGCATAATATTAGAGTATTTGTTATATCATGGGTTTTGGATATTAAAGAAAAAGCTTTTAATCTTATTGTAAAACATAGTTTATGCATGGTTAAAATTTCATAAAATGTATATTTTATATAACTTATTCTATTTAAAATTTATATCTATTCGAAAAATATGATACTTTTATTCGATTGTAAGATGTTTATTCGTTATAATAACATATTTTTTAATGCAAAATATCTATTTTGTTACAATTCGTAATTTATATAACAATTTGTTTTAGGTATATTTATTAAAACATAAATAATTTTAAATATAATTCTATTAAAAAAAGCTGTGGTACAAAGAATATTGCAAAATTATAGTAACACAATGGAACTTGTTAATATATTTCTTTATTATTTTTTAAAATTGTGTACAATTTTTATATTTAAATTACAAAGGCAGTGCATAAAGTTAATCGCGATTAGAAATGTATTATGTATTGTTGAAAAGGTTTCGCTAAATAGAGTCCATTTGTGTGACGCATTATATTAGAGAATTTATTGCTTGCTAGCAGTGTTATTATATAAAATAAATATTTATAAACTTCTACAAATTTTAAACAATATTTAATAAAATTATAATTAGCGCGCTTATAGCTGTTTTTACATATGAGCTATTCAATTATATATTATATAAACAATAAAAAGACAATAATTGTGATTCCATATAAATGCAAATAAAATATAAATGTTAATATTTTATTAAAATTTTACAATGAAGAAATTTTATAAGATAATTGTCATATAAAATAATGATAATGCAAGAACGCGCTTTCGACAATATTAAATCATATGTTAGGTCTACCGAAAAGTTTTGTTCATTTTGCATAATTATTTTAAGCACGTAAAAAAATGTTATAATGAAAGATATATGACTCATTCTTTTTACCGTTATATTTTATCATTGGTGCCCTTCAACATACATTGAAACAAATATTTTATTCTTCTTATAAACAAATATTTCATTCTTCTTATAAACTTCAAATTATTAAATATTTTATTATCTGTAGGTACTTACTAAGGAATAATAAAAGATAGATGTCTGTCAATTAGATTTATTTACGGCACTTTATGAATACGCAGACTTTAACCTTGAAGATGAACCACGAAAAATCTTTTGTGATCGATGATGATATTCTTCGTAACATTTTGGAAAAAGATCCGTTTTTATTAAGAAGTTGTTAATATTAATGGAAATTATATCTGTTAACTAAATATTAATAAATACTACAAACATTTATTATTTTCGCTTACTTAAAAAGCGGATAGAACTTTTCGGTAGACCTAATATTTTTTTTAGATATAACTGAATATATAAATCAAAAAATTACACTTTTATATTACTCATATCATTATTTCTCTTTACTACAAATTTTTTATTTTTTTTTATTTATACACAAATTTATTCACAGATAAATAAAATGACTTTAATTATTGCATAACGATTTGTTTATCGATATTCTTATTTATAAAAAGTACAAACGAGATAAAAATATTGATGTATTGAACGTAATATAATTCGTCATTTCGTAATTTCTTATCGTAATTTCTTATCGTACGATACTGCAGTTATTGCAACATTATTTTTGCGAGTGTAGATCGAGAAATTGGCGAGTTGTTTGCCAGCGCTTGGTTGGGTAGTTTTAATTTGTCACAGCACTTTTGTATTTTTGGGTATGAATAGAAATATGAAATATGAAATATGAATACAAATTTACAAAAATACACATTATAAATAAATCATTAAACAAGCTAATTTAGAAAATGTTTTATTAAATTTATATATTATTATGCGCGCAAGTGACAAATTTTTTATTATAATATAAATTAATACATTAATTTTTAAAAATATAGTGATAAATGGGATCGAGAGCCAATGCCGGATGTTCTTCGTTGTTTATTCTTTTTCCAAATTTTCTTTATTAATGAGTATACGTTTTGGCCACTATTGGGTTATCTTCAATACAATAACTAAAATTCGACGGTTAAAAATTACCAATACATTCTCGACAGTGTAAATTAGTTCGTTGTAACATATCTGGTATTTAAAAAAATCTATTTAAAACAGTCTGATTTGCATGTTGTATGTGACAAGTGAACACTACTGTGTGATAAAAGATGACAGAATTAGAGAAGAAAAGACCGGAAAGAAACTGGTCACGAGAAACACATTAAAAAAAAACAAAAAAATAAAAAATAATAATTAATAAAAAAACAGAAGAATGAAAAATGTCTAAAATGTTAATTACTTGTGAGACGTGTTTGCAATTGACGCCTAGTGATGTCAGTGGCTGACTGTGTGAGGTCGAAACTGGTAAACCTTTATTAAAACCTATCTTTATTAAAACCCACCAAGACAACTTAAACAAATTCTCGCAGTGCAATGTAGTTTACAAAATTTCTTGCAATGATTGCCAAGCAACATATATCGGACAGACAAAAAGACAATTGAAAACCAGAATCAACGAACACAAGAACAACATTAATTCCAACAATCTCTCCGTAATATCGTTGCACCGCAATGATTTTAATCACAGCTTTGATTGGGATGAGGTAAAGATAATGGACAGGGAGAACTCTTATTGGAAGAGACTATCATCTGAGATGATTCAAATTAAACGCCAAAAATCGGCCATAAATAAACAGAGCGACACAGACCTTATGTCCGAAGCCTATTTACCTATCATAAAATTGTTATCGTATCCTAATTGTTATCGTATACCTAATCCTCCTTCCGAAATTCCCCTTTCCACAACGTTATTCTCTTTCTGTACCATACGTTTTACCAGTTTCGACCTCACACAGTCAGCCACTGACATCACTAGGCGTCAATTGCAAACACGTCTCACAAGTAATTAACATTTTAGACATTTTTCATTCTTCTGTTTTTATTATTAATTATTATTTTTTATTTTTTTGTTTTTTTCAATGTGTTTCTCCAGTTGACCAGTTTCTTTCCAGTCTTTTCTTCTCTAATTCTGTCATCTTTTATCACACAGTAGTGTTCACTTATCACATACAACATGCGAATCAGACTGTTTTAAATGGATTCTTTTAAATACCAGGTATGTTACAACGAACTAATTTACACTGTCGAGAATGTATTGGTAATTTTTAACCGTCAAATTTTAGCTATTGTACTGAAGATGGTCCGATAGTGACCGAAACGTATACTCATATATAAAAAAAATTTGAAAACAGAATAAACAGCGAAGAACATCTGGCATTGGCTCTCGATCCCATTTATCACTATATTTTATTAGTTATTGTGAGCTCTTCAAGATTACTTGTTATTAATTTTTTAATATTTTCTTAAAAATATTAGTAATAAAATAAAATTAATTTATTTTAATGTATATTTTATGGCGTTTAAAATATCAAGACAGCAGGTTTTTATTGTATGAAGCAAATATATATTTTGCGACATAAATCAAGAAGGAAAAGTCTTACGAACGTAAGAAAGTAAAAAGTCCAAGGAAAAATGATTATCAGTATATTGTTATTATTTTTCTTTATCTTATTGATGTATAATTATTACGTACATCATGGAAGATCTGGTCGACTCATTAATCTTATACCGGGACCAAAAGTTACTCCGATTTGTGGTAATGCATTTTTATTCCAAGGTTCACTCGGTAAGTAAAAATATTTATTATGTTTCTATTATTTTAATTATTTGTATTAATATTCATGTAAGTAAAAATTAAATTTTCTGTTTTAAAGTATATTTATAACTGCCAACATTGTGAACTAATTCCAAATAATCGGTTAAGTTCTTTAAAATTTTTGTTGTAATAATATTTATATTTTAAATTTTTATAATTTATTTGTTAATTTTTGTATATTTATTTTTAATATTTATGCATATTTTTTAGAGGACATTTGGAAGAATTGGCGTTCTCTCTCTGATGACTTTTATCCTATAACGAAATTCTGGATGTTTTTTACGCCCGCAGTGTTAATTCGTCATCCAGATCATGTAGAAGTAATAAAAAATAAAAGAAATTTATTTCTGTAATTATTATTAATAATTAATGGATTTCAAAAATTTATTGTTAATGTATTTTTGCAAAAAAATTTTGGCTCGTAAAAAATGACTTTTAAACATATACAAAATATTTAATACAGTTACAAAAATCGACTGATTGATTATTTTTGTGTAAGAACTAACGTAATATATAATAAACATATGTACATAATTTAATTTTTTTACGATTTTAGAAAATACTAAGTAATGTGAAATATATTAATAAGAGTTATTGGTATGAGATTTTACATCCTTGGTTTGGAACCGGTCTTCTCACCAGTCAAGGTAACATAACAACATTAAACTGAAGAGTGAGAGATTTAATATAAATAATGTTACTTGTATTTTATGAGAAAACGTTTTGATTACAAGTAATACCATAAGACGATTTTGTAATGTTGCAATGCAGGTTTTTGTTTTAGGTGCCAAGTGGCAGACACGACGAAAGATACTAACTCCCGCATTTCATTTTAATATATTGCAACAGTTTGTTGATATTTTAATTGAGGAGAGTGGTCGTATGATACAATCATTGAAAGATGTTGAAGGAACAGTTGTAAAAGATTTGGTACCATTTATGAGTGAACACACACTGAACGCAATATGCGGTAATTCTTTATATTCTGTGTTTATATATCATAATAATTATATAATAATTTTATTCTGAATAATTAAAAGTAAAAAAATTTATTCTTGCGTGAGATACAGATATCAAAATAGAAATCAATATTAATATCTGTAATGATTATTGTTAATATTATTTTTTTGCACAAGATATAACTTTGTAAATGTACTTATAGAAACTGCTATGGGTACCTCTCTGCAAGGTCTCGGTGAGTCACAGCATCGGTATCGAAAAGCGGTTCACGAGATAGGCGAACTTTTAGTCCGCAGGTAATTTGTTGATATAGAAAATGATGATAATATATATTTATATAATGGATAAATATATTAATTTTTGGGGTGGTCGCACGATACAAAATGAATTATTATGTTTAATACAAATCGTCGTTTAAATTGACAATTAATAATATATTAATTAATAAGTATAAGGTTATATATACAGGGTGTATAAAAAAGGACGGGACCCTAAAATATTTTAAAAAGTTTAAGTTTTATAAAAAACGTTTAAGATAAAAGTTGTAGGGTTTAAAAAGGTCTATTTATTGATTTTATCAGTTTAACTTTGGGTAGCGTCGTCAAGGCCATGGCAAAGTAACTTTCAATTTTTTAAATAGAATCCCCAATTTTTCTACTGCATATTTTTATAGCTCTATTTGAGACCTTTTCAGAACACTATAATTTTATCCATTTTGGATCAACCGTTTCGAAGTTATCGAGGTTTATGATAAGACGTCCAGCCAACAAAGGCAAGATTCCAAACAATGAAGGCAAGATCGTGATGGTTATAAGGGCGTCAAAATAAAAACTAATCCTTGATTAGAATATGACAATTGGCTTACACATTCTGCTGATGTTTAAGTAGTAATAGTAATCGTAATAATCATTGTAATTCGATAACTTTGAAACGGGTGACCCAAAGTGGATAAAATTATAGTGTTTTAATAACATTCTATATCTGAGACATTCTTTAGTAACACTTATACATATTTTTCAAGTTGTTCTGGGGTCTCGACTTTTTTTATATACTCTGTATATATTCGATACACAAAAATCGTATAAATTTGGTTACAAAAAAAGCTAATTAAATTAATTTAATAAGTCGTATATCAGAATATCTATTAAAATACGAAAAGTATTAAATTTTTGTTATACTTTTGCTCATATTAAATTCAACGAAATTAATAAAAATGCTTTTAAAAAATGTAGTAATTTTTAAATTTTATCTATATAAACATAAAAATAATAAAGTGTAAATTTTTGAATAACAATAATGAAATAGGAACGTATCAGAACTGAAATTGATACTGTGATACAAAAGAAATATATAACAGGTTTGATTTATATATATAAAAGTCAAATCTATTATACACTTTTTTGGTGTATTTAGTTTTAGATTTTATATATTATTTTCTTATTTATTAAATACACTTGTGCAATTCCATTTAGAATGATGAGGCCATGGTTTAATTACACTCTAGTGTTTGAGTTGTCGCCAACAGGATTTCTGCAAAGAAAGATTTTGAAAATATTACATGGATTCACTGAAAAAGTGTGTAAAAATTGTGTTATTTAAGATGCTTTAAATGTTTTATTATATAAACTTCTAATAGATGCAGTAATTTTTGTTTACTATGTAAATTATTATAAAAATATTATTAGCGTGTTGTTAGTAATAATATTAATAATAAAAATAATTAATATTTTGCTCATTCGTAGATTATTACAGAAAGGAAACTTTATCATGAACGTACCAATAATCAATATTTAAAAAGTTTTGAAAAGTACAATATAGGAGAAATAAATGGAACCGAAGTATATGGAAGTATGTGTACAATCACTATAATTTGAAATTAATTAGTTATTAATTTCTATTGTTTAATCAAAGCGACAACAATATATACTAACATATTAATTTTTTTCGTGTGACTTAGCTCGAAGAAAACGACTTGCTATGTTGGATCTTTTAATAGCAGCGTCTAAAGAAAACAATATAACGGATTTAGACATCAGAGAAGAAGTTGATACATTTATGTTTGAGGTATGTATAATTTTTTAATTTTTAATATTAATAATATTAAAAATATTAATATATTATTTAAACATAACAATGTTTATAATATGATTGTAGGGTCATGATACTACTGCGATGGCCGCATGTTTTACTTTATTATTGTTAGCAGAGCACAAAGATGTTCAGGTACCTTTCGATACACACGGACAGTATAAATTTTGTTAGAAGAAAAAACTAATTAAATTAATTTGATAAGTCATATATTAGAATATTTATTAAAATACAAAAAGTATTAAACTTTTGTTATACTTTTGCTCATATTAAATTCATTGAAATTAATACAAATGTAGTAATTTTTCTATTTTGTTTACATAAACATAAAAATAATAAGATGTAAATTTTTAATTAACATTAATGGGAAATAGGAACGCATTAGAACTGAAATTAATACCGCGATACAAGAGAATGGAAAGAAGTATACGATGACATTGTTGCAAAATCTGCCATATTTAGACAGATGTTTAAAGGAATCACTACGATTGTATCCCAGCGTGCATCTTATATCACGTGTTGCTCCAGAAGACATAAAATTAGGTGCGTATCAATTATATGTTGTGTATGTTCTTAAATATGTAACAATACAGAATATACTATTAAATAAATAAATACATGTAATGCATTAAAGAGAGAATATTACATATTTTATTTATAAAATATATTTCAAAAATTTATTAAATATAATGCGTTTTATATACAATATTTAAAAAATTAACTGTATATCTTTTTATAAGTTCTTTTACGCAAACTCTACATAAAATATAATGTATTTTACATATGTGAGTTTTTGTTTTGTAAGATTTAACGAAGTTTTTAACGTTATTTATATTATACATATATATACTTATTATATATTATTTTTAGATTCATATATAATACCTGCTGGAACATTCATGCATATTAATATCTATGATGTTCATAGAGATCCCAATTTTTGGCCTAATCCAGATGTATTTGATCCAGATAGATTTTTGCCAGAGAAAATACGAAATCGTCATTCTTATTCCTACGTACCTTTCAGCGCAGGACCAAGAAATTGCATAGGTTAGTATTGCAATTTTTATTTCTTTTGACATAAACAATCTGATATATTATAAATAACAGGTCAACGGTTTGCCATGTTGGAATTGAAAGCTATAATAGCCCCTTTAGTGCATAACTTTTACTTGGAATCTGTTGATTATTTGAAAGATGTTCGATTTAAAAGCGATCTTGTGATTCGTCCTGCACATCCAGTCCGTGTAAAATTCATTCCAATTGACCACATTAAATCATGCGAAGCAACAACAAATTCTAGCAAGGTAACAGACTGACTAATGTTATGAATAAAAAACAAAATGTATGTGTGGAAACATTACATTTAATTTAGATTTAGAGTACATATCTACGAATATAAATTGTTGTAATAAAAATGAAAATTATAAATTAACTTGTGCCATAACTTGTGTCATACATAATAGATATACTAAATGTATCGATAAATATTATAAATAAAATTTCCATGATAAGAATATTTTAGATAACAGATATCTAAAGTACATACATATAATATCTAAATACACAAGTGCTTCTTTCAACAAATATAATTACAAATCATATGCAACAAATTGAAAATTTTATACAAATCTGGTAACATATTATTCTAAATATATTATTAGAAGACACGTAGTACACAAAAGTATCCGCATAGCGGTAAGTCCTCTCGCGCCGAGTTGCTCTCGACCGCCAGATAAGCACTACGTAACGCATGTTTGCCACGCCGAAGGGGTTAAAATAATTATGAAATCATTTACTTTTTTTAAATATTATATAACATATTGAAATTCAGGACGAATTAAGGAACCCAAAGAAGAAATAAAAGAAAAATTTAAGAAATTGTAATTTATTCAACAAGAAATAGTTATCACTTTACTGCTATTGTGCATCTTTTTCATATTACTTACTAGTGAAGGTAACATAATTCTCATTTCTAATATGTAGAATATTTCGAATCGGAAATGTATAAAAATTGTATTCTTTAATTTTTTATATTTATATAATTTCCGTATCCTAAATTCTGTATTTAAGTACACAATTATAAGAAATAAAAAATTAATTTCAATACAGGATTAATTACTGTCATTTTTAAATTATAATATATTTATTATAATGTAAATTATAATATAATTATAATATATTATAATATATATTTTAAATTATAATATACTTTTTAAATCTTAAAAAAAGTAACATTTAGTAAAATTTTAAAAAGGTAAACAAGTAGTTTGTTACATCATTAAAAGAATTATTAACTCAGTTGTCATATGCATTATAAATATTTATGGTTATAAATAATATAAATATTTCATAATTTATTTAGTACAATATTTTACTTGCCTTTTCACAATTATAGCTTGAAAACACTTTTTAATTTGATAAGACGTACCTTATTGTAAATTCAAACCGACAATATATATAAATGTATGATTAATGCGCATTAAATGGTGTCTGTGTTTGTTTTAACTCAAATACAAGAAAACTAGCGTGACTGTTCAGCACTTGGTGACGTGCGTGTTAGAGCGATATCGAAATAAGTGTAATAATAGTAAAAAATAATTTTTTTATGTATTCTAAAGAAATATAATAAATGTTATATTTTGACAGTTATTAATGTTCAATTATGCCATAGACGGAACTAGCTTTAAAGTTAAACAAATTACAACAATAATAGAAATTTTGTTTGAAATAATTATGCATGTAAAGATGCCATGAGTTCGAATTGATCTCGGTTAGTGCGGTTGCCAGAATTACTGCTTGAATTAAATGACATAATTGATGTAAATTATCAATTGTTTCAGATGGTCGATTGAATTATTTTCTAATCATAACTTATTTTGGCGATATTTAAATTATTTACAGCAATAATATGGTAATGCAATATATGTCTGCTATAAAAAATTAAATCTATTATTTATGTACTTACAAGGAAGGTTCTGCAACCCGGAAATTCTAATAAATCTGAAACTTTGCTGAACTGTAATGAATATGAATCTAATCGTAATGCTAATTGGTTTAGATTTTTTACAATCTTCGGATTGCCCAACTTTCCTTGTCAGGCGCGAACAGTGCTGCCTTATAAAGGATTGATTATAACGACTTTCAAATTTGCGCGGCTATCTGACACTTTTCAGCGCCATCAACGCATCTAACGTCTAAAAATTGTAACACAGACGACGACGATGAATTAATTAGACTTTTCGACATTTCGATTTTTGAACTGTTACATCTTTGTTTATTGGGGAGTACAAAAAAACATTTTTTAAATATAATTCGAGTATGCACAATCAATTGTTCTAGACGTTATTGAGATCCGATAACCTCGGCTCTTCTCAACTTGTTTGCTCTCGTACAGATTCACGGTTGCTTTTTTACACATTGTGCGTGAACTTGACGCGAGACACGGCCGTGTTTTTTTACGTAGATACAATATGTATGTGTCAATGATACACGGTGTCTTTTTTGCGCACTGCGCGTCAACTTAACGCGAGACATGACTATGTTTCTTGATGTAGTAATAGGATGTGGATATTAAAGATGGGTACACGATCGCATTTTTGCGCGATGGCATGAACGTGACGCGAGACGCAATCATGTCTCTTGGTGTGGAAACAAGATGTAGATGTCAAGAATGAGTATATACAGGATGACACAATATAATCTATATATAGATTTTTTACTGAAAGTACAAGTGAAGAAAGGGTTATGTACAGAGTTTAAATTGTATCGAGGGAAACATTATATACTGCACGTGTTTGTTTTAAGAGTGGAGGCATTTTGGACATTTCAAGGTTAATTTTATTTTTTTAAACGATGCCATCTATTTTTTTATCATAAATCAATCCTTCCTATTATTCTGCATATAAAAGTATTAGAGTAAGGTATTAAAAAATGAATAGTTCAGAAGATATTTCAATTTTTCGTATCTTTTATTTAACGTTTGTTATGTTCAATTAACTAAAATCTAATATGGATACTTGAGAGAACTACTTGAGAGATTATCGTAGATATAACAAAAAGTAATTAAACATATTTATTTTATGATAAATGTTCAAGTACATCTTGTTTGTGTTTGTGTTTGCCTCGGACATCATTACATTTTTAAACATGAATCTTGAAGCTCTTTTGAACTGCTATTAGCATTTCAGGAGTGATACGTTGAAATACATTTGAAATATTTTTTTTACATAACTTCAGAACCTGTTGATTTAATAAAAATAAAAATAATTATTTTGCCGTAGATTATTGTAAAAGAAATATTCTTTGGACATAACAATGCTTATAATGTGATTATAGGATTATGACTCTTTTGCGATAGTCGCATTTTTTATTTTATTATTATTAATTGTGCACAAATATGTATAAGTACTTTTTATAAAAATAAGAATTAAAAATTGTACTAAATTACGAGTAGAAGTATGTAAGTTTTGTTTAGTACAATTTTTAATTTTTATTTTTATAAAAAGCTTTTTGATTTTTAATTATATATTCAGTCAGATAGTTAATTTTCTAATTATTCTTATTTTATGGTTTCCTTCTTTATAAGGTCGAATTCTATGGCTCTGTCAATGTTTTATTTTGTAACTAAGAATCAGAGAAGAATTTTATTTATTTATAACGAATAATTGACTTATTTATGCAGACTTCTGATAGATGACTACCTTGATCTTAGTCCTTGTGAATAATTTGTTAATAATAGTTTCAATTTGCGTGCGAAAAGGAAAAAAACTAGACTCGTTGTTTTTCCGGTTTAAAAACGATTTTGTTAGCGTTAAAAATATTGTTGGCGTATAAAATATTGTTTTCAATACACTGAACAAGGCCAAAAACTATGGCCGAAACGTATGTACTTAACATGTAAATAAACAATTTGAGCACGTTAAACTAGCGCTCTGGCTGTAGTCTTATATTTTTTGAATCTTTATATTTTATTATTAATATGTTTATATATATCCAATCCGAATATTTATCAAATCAAATCAAATGTGCACAGATATTGAAAATAAAAAGAAATTTTACAATGCAAGAAATGAACAATAATGAAAAAATTGTTAATTAAATTATTATATTGTATATCCAATGTGTGATAAATGAATACATATTGTATATATAAAAATATTATATTATATTATATAAACAAATCTTAAATATGTATACATTATTTATAATAAATGTATAAAGTAAACTATAAATTATCTACATTATCATATAAAATATATGATATTATACATTATCATACATTAAATATGTCAATATATAAATAGAAAGAATTAATTAAATCATGAGCACTTCAGATGTATACTATGTTAAGTCATAAATATAACTTTTCAGAAGAAGGATCTAAAGAGATTTTTGGCTTTTGATATGCTCTCAGTAAAATGCTTATAATGTTTTACAGATTTTTTTTTATATTCGCAGGTATAATGTCAAACTTCGATATGTTTCAGAAAATTAAGTTGTGTAAATAATGAATATGATTTTAATGTGATGACTTCCCTGGTAGAAATTCAATCTGGACCTTATTATGGCCCCGATTAGCTTGTCAGTCACCAACTCGGGCGTGATACTGGCGAATTAGTCGGGGCCACACACAAAATCGTCATAAATGCCAGCGCCACAAATTCATCGCAATACGGGGGCAACTGGGACTGTGGATTGGCACTATCTATCTATCTATCCCTTCTAATTTTTTTAGATAGGTTATGATATGGTAAACAAGTAAGGCCCAAACTTTTTTTTCCTGGCAACAAAGACTGGCGAACGCTACTGATTAAACATAACGCCAGACTAAATATCATTCTGGGCCATACTATAGCCCTCCTAAATTTTTTTTGATAGGCTACGTCTTGGCAAACAAGTGAGGCCCATACTTCTGACGTTAAACTGGCAATTTCTACCAGGGTTAGTACTGTTTAATGCATCACACATTGTGACTTTGCATTTTGCGTTATTGCACATTCTACACTGCGCAGTAACGTCATATTCAATATGTATTCACAAAATGTTTTATTGATTGTATTAATTATTATGAGTCTATAAAGTAGTCTGTTTTGTATTGACGTCCAACAGACACTTAATAGCAGTGACAGTGTTTAAATCATTACATTGAAATTGTTATAAAAATATTAGAAGTTGTGTATACGATTTTTGGTACAAAGAATTAAAATTAAAAGTTTTACAAGCTTTCTTAAAAATAAAGCAATATCTTTTACGGTGAGATCCTTAGAAAAATAATAATATAAAATAATTCTTAAAAAGGTAAACTCTACATTCTTATTTATACTAACAATAGTGCATAATATTAGAGTATTTGCTATATCATTGGATTTGGGTATCAAAGAAAAAGCTTTTAATCTTATTGTAAAACATAGTTTATGCATGGTTAAAATTTCATAAAATATTTTATATAAATATATTTTATATAAAATTTTATATTTTATATAAATATATTATATATTTTATATAAATTATTCTATTTAAAATTTATATCTATTCGAAAAATATGATACTTTTATTCGATTGTAAGATGTTTATTCGTTATAATAACATAATTTTATATGGAAAATATTATCCATTTTGTTACAATTCGTAAATTAAATAACAATTTGTTTTAGATATATTTATTACAACATAAATAATTTTAAATATAATTCTATTAAAAAGAAACAGTGATATGAAGAATATTGCAAAATTATAGTAACACAATGTAACTTGTTAATATATTTTTGTAATATTTTTTAAAATTGTGTACAATCTTTATATTTAATTTACTAAGGCAGGGCATGAAGTGTTAATTGCGAATAGGAATGTATTATGTATAGTTGAAAATGTCTCGCCGAATAGAGTCTATTTGTGCGATAATGCATTAGATTAGAGAATTTATTGCTAGCTAGCAGTGTTATTATGTAATATAAATATTTATAAAATTCTACAGAACTCAATTTATATATATATATATATATATATATATATATATATATATATATATATTATATATATATAATATATATACATAATTATTACATAAACAATATTTAATAAAATTATAATTAGCGCGCTTATGTTAGCTTTTTATACATTCTCTATTTAAAATGTATGATAATAATCACGAAGAAACTCTATATTAGAACTTAATCTGCGTATGTGCAATTTTGCTTCTACGTACAACACAATCCAAGCAATTTGAAATAGAAACTAACGAACAAGTAGAAACTTGTGAAATAATATTTTCATTACAAATAATTTTGAGCACTGGTTTATAATTATTATAATTATATATGAGGTTTTTAGAGGAAACATTTAACAATTAGTCTACACAAAGGACATTTGTAAATAATTATTAATTGTATAATTGAGTAGCTCATTGGCAAAAGCAATTAAATCTACTTGAATTTTGTTTAGCTAGAGCAGAACAACTTGTACTCTTGAGTATAATTTATCTCATTCAAGCTATCAAGATCTTTTTTTGAAAAATTAAAAAAATTTATTGTTTTAACAAACTGTGTATAATCAGTGTCGGATTAACACAGTAGTAAAAGTAGCATATGCTACGGGCCCCGCGTTTTCAAGGGCCCCGCGCAAAATGCCTAGAAACTATCAATCCCGATTCATCGATTCTGTACATCCTATATTACTATCGTACAATGATGAAAACTCGAGCATCCTGCAGTACGACAATATGAATGGGGCCATGCACACAAGTGGGAATCATACGCAAATCTGTGAGCGCTCGGTTGTATTCTGAGTGATAAATGAACAAAACAATTTCTATAATATGTTATAAAGCGCGTTCTAAGACTAAAATTTAATAGAGATCCCGTATTCGAGATCTGCTTCTTGCAATTTTTTTTCCGCATTTGTTTATAACAATTCTAATTAATTCTAATACTAATTCTAATGCAATATTTAAATAAATTATTAAATTGTTTGTTTCGTAAAAGATATTACTTTGAAATTTAAACTAATGGTACCATCTTATATCCTCTTCGAAATCGTTCCATTTTTATCTGAAACATTTTTCGTATCTCCTTTAGTTTTCAGAAAATCAACTGTATTTATTAAAATAAGACATCCAGTATATATATATTAAATATAACAAATATAATAAATAATATATACAGGGTGTTTCATAATGTCCGTGCCAACACTCGTGTGCGAATAGTGTTGCGACATTAAATATCAGTTGCGATAAAAACACGCGTGGGCCCACGAAAAAGGTTTCGCCGACTTCAGTCGGCATGCAACAAAGGCTTCGCCGACCTAAGACAACAAACAACCAACATGTCCGGCGTTAGCCGATAACCGCGTCACATAAGATTATGACCATTTAGATTGGTTGCTTAAAATGTATTTCTTTTGATTGGTTCCCTTCTACCACCGCAAGATGCTATATAAGCAGCGAGATTAATTCACGAACCTCAGATCTATATAATATCGCGACTTTATAACAAGCCGAGATACATACGAGGCCGAATCCTCTGAAACTTACAGTATTATTTGTACGAAATATAACATAATCACAAATAAACATAGATACGAAACTAATACATTGAGTGAAATTCTTTGTATAAAAATCACGAGACGACAAATAGAGTGCGGTAAACTGAATAGAAAAGTCCTTTACCGTTTTGCAATTTTCGCAATAGTAATTGAGATATTAATTAAAAGGGATTGACGAATAATCGCGCGTTGCGCGTAGCTAGATCGTGGGCTGTACACTCTAAACGTGACAACAACGAGAATCGCATGGCAACGAAAAATAACACGTAGCGAGAGCAGGAGTGATATGCGTTGTTATTTTTCGTTGCCATGCGATTCTCATTGCTGTCACGCCTAGAGCGTACAGCCTACGATCTAGCCGCGATCAACGCGCGATTATTCGTCAATCCCTTTTAATTAATATCTCAATTACTATTGCGAAAATTGCAAAACGGTAAAGGACTTTTCTATTCAGTTTACCGCACTCTATCCGTACACGAGCGTTGGCACGGACATTATAAAACACCCTGTAGATTAAAGGCCCTGTTATAACACATGCTACAGGCTCCGCGCTTGCTTAATCCGGCACTGTGTATAATATAGCATGAGAAATACAATTTCCATTTATTAAAATAGAATAGAAATAGAAACTTAGCTGGTTGTGCAGCTGGATAAAAGGATTTAGCTGATTTTGGAACTGGTATTTGCCATTTTTATTTTAATTTAAATTAAATTAACTTTAAATTAAACATAATTTTTATAATTTGAAGCATTTTTATCACCCTAATAATATAACAAAAATTTACTTACTATATTATACTATATTATAAAACACTATACACATAACTAATAACATGTAATATTTTATATGATCATATAAAATTACATATGTTATTAGATCTTTTAATAACAAATTATATGTATATTTAAATCTGACCAATTATATCATTTTTTCTCGGGTTAAAAATGTCATGATAATTCGTAGTTTCATGATTTCTTATCGTAATTTCTTAATGTAGAACGCTGTAATTATTGCAACATTATTTTTGTGAGTGTAGATCAAAAAATTAGCTAGTAGTTATTTGCCAGCGCTTGGTTGGATAGTGTTAATTTGTCACAGCAGTTTTGCATTTTTGGATATGAATAGAAATATTACAAATTTACAAAAATACACTTTATAAATAAACCATTAAACAGGCTAATCAGACAATGTTTTTTTTTTAATTTATACATTATTATGTACTCAAGACATTATGACAAATTTTTCATTACAATATAAATAAATACATTAATTTTTTAATATTTTCTTAAAATTATTAGTAATAAAATAAAATAAATTTATTTGAATATATATTTTGTTTATTGCGTTTAGGATATCAAGAGAATAAGTTTTAATTGTATGAAGCAAATATCAAATATTTTGCGACATAAATCAAGAAAGAAAAGTCTTACAAACGTAAGAAAGTTTAAGAAAGTAAAAAGTTCAACGAAAAATGATTATTAGTATATTGTTATTATTTTTCTTTATCTTATTAATGTATAATTATTACGTACATCATGGAAGATCTGGTCGACTTATTAATCTTATACCAGGACCAAAAGTTACTCCGATTTTTGGTAATGCATTTTCATTCCAAGGTTCACACGGTAAGTAAAAATATCTATTATGTTTCCATTATTTTAATTATTTGTATTAATATTTACGTAAATAAAAATTAAATTTTCTGTTTTAAAGTATATTTATAACTGCCAACATTGTGAATTAATTCCAAATATTCGGTTAAATTCACTGAAATTTTTTAAAAATAATATTTATTTTTTAATTATTGTAATTTATTTGTTAATTTTTGTATATTTATTTATAATATTTATGCATACTTTTTAGAGGAACTTTGGAAGAATTGGCGTTCTCTCACTAACGACTTTTATCCTATAACGAAATTGTGGATGTTTTTTACGCCCGCGGTGTTAATTCGTCATCCAGATCATCTAGAAGTAATAAAAAATAAAAGAAATTTATTTCTGTAATTATGTTGATAATTAATGGATTTTAAGAATTTTTTATTTATGTATTTTTGCAAAAAAATTTTGGCTCGTAAAAAAATTTTTTTAAATATACACTAAATATTTAATACGGTTACAAAAATTGACTGATTGATTATTCTGGTAACTAACGTATTATATAAACATATTTACATAATTTAATTTGTTTTCAATTTTAGAAAATACTGAGTAATGTGAAATATATTAATAAGAGTCGTATGTATGAGATTTTACATCCTTGGTTCGGAACCGGTCTTCTCACGAGCCAAGGTAACATAACAACATTAAACTGAAGAGCGAGAGATTTAATAAAAATAATGTTATTTGTATTTTATAAAAAAACGTTCTGATTACAAATAATACGATAAGACGATTTTGCAATGCTTGCAATGCAGGTTTCTGTTTTAGGTGCCAAGTGGCAGACACGACGAAAGATACTAACTCCCGCATTTCATTTTAATATATTACAACAGTTTGTTGATATTTTAATTGAGGAGAGTGGTCGTATGATACAATCATTGAAAGATGTTGAAGGAACAGTTGTAAAAGATTTGGTACCATTTATGAGTGAACACACACTGAACGCAATATGCGGTAATTCTTTATATTCTGTGTGTATATATCATAATAATTATATAATAATTTTATTCTGAATGATTAAAAGTAAAAAAAATTTATTCTTGCGTGAGATACAGATATAAAAATAGAAATCAATATTAATATCTGTAATGATTATTGTTAATATTATTTTTTTGCACAAGATATAACTTTGTAAATGTACTTATAGAAACTGCTATGGGTACCTCTCTGCAAGGTCTTGGTGAGTCACAGCATCGGTATCGAAAAGCGGTTTACGAGATAGGCGAACTTTTTGTCCGCAGGTAATTTATTGATGTAGAAAATGATGATAATATATATTTATAGAATAAATAAATATATTAATTTTTGGGTGGTCACACGTTACAAAATGAATTATTATGTTTGATACAAATCGGCGTTTAAATTGACAATTAATAATATATTAATTAATAAGTATAAGATTATATATACAGGGTGTATAAAAAAGGTCGAGACCCTAGAATATTTCGAAAAATATAAGTTTTATAAAAAATGTTTTAGATAAAGTTGTAGGGTTTAAAAAAATCTATTTATTGATCATATCAGTTTGACTTTAGGTGGTGTCGCCAAGGCAAGGGCAAGGTAACTTTGAATTTAAAAAAAAAACCCCTCAATTTTTTTATTGCATATTTTTATAACTCTACTTGAGACTTTTTCAAAACCTTATAATTTTATCCACTTTGGATTAACCGTTTCGAAGTTATCGAGGTTTTATGATAAGATGTCCAACCAACGAAGACAAAATCCGAGGATGATCCAGACATGAAGACAAGATCGTGATGGTTATAAGGACGTCAAAATAAAAATTGATTCTTATTAGGATGTGACAATTACACATTCTGCTGATGTTTAAGTAGTAATAGTAATTGTAATAATCATTGTAATTTAATAAGCTTGAAACGGTTGACCCAAAGTGAATAAAATTATAGTGTTTTAAAAACATTTTATATCTCAAACATTCTTTTATAAAATTTATACATAGTTTTCAAATTATTCTGGGATCTCGATCTTTTTTACATATTCTGTATATATTCGATACACAAAAATCGTATAAATTTGGTTACAAGAAAAAGCTAATTAAATTAATTTAATAAGTCATATATTAGAACATCTATTAAAATACAAATAGTATTTTATATAAAAGTATAATGTAATAATTTTTAAATATTATCTATATAAACATAAAATAATAACATGTAAATTTTTAAATAACATTAATGAATAAAGAACGTATCAGAACTAAAATTGATACTGCAATAAAAAAAAAGTATATAACAGAATTGACTTATATATATAAAAGTCAAAGCTGTCATAAACTTTTTTGGTATATTTAGTTTTAGATTTTACATATCATTTTTGCTTACTTATTAAATACATTTGTGCAATTCCATTTAGAATGATGAGGCCATGGTTTTATTACACTCCAGTATTTGAGTTGTCGCCAACAGGATTTCGGCAAAGAAAGGTTTTGAAAATATTGCATGAATTCACTGAAAAAGTGTGTAAAAATTGTGGTATTTAAGATGTTTTAAATGTTTTATTATATAAAATTCTAATAGATGCAGTAATTTTTATGTACTATGTAAATTATTATAAAAATGTTAACAGCGTGTTGCTAGTAATAATACAATAATACAAATAATAAAAATAATTAATATTTTGCTCATCTGTAGATTATTGCAGAAAGGAAACTTTATCATGAACGTACCAATAATCGATATTTAAAAAATTTTGAAAATTACAATACAGGAGAAATAGATGGAACCGAGGTATATGAAAGTATGTGTATAATCACTATAATTTGAAATTAATTAGTTATTAATTTCTATTGTTTAATCAAAGCGACAACAATATGTACTATCATATTTATTTTTTTCGTGTGATTTAGCTCGAAAAAAACGACTTGCTATGTTGGATCTTTTAATAGCAGTGTCTAAAGAAAACAATATAACGGATTTAGACATCAGAGAAGAAGTTGATACATTTATGTTTGAGGTACGTGTAATTTTTTAATTTTTAATATTAATAATATTAAAAATATTAATGTATTATTTAGACATAACAATGCTTATAATATGATTGTAGGGTCATGATACTTCTGCGATGGCCGCATGTTTTACTTTATTATTATTAGCTGAGCACAAAGATGTTCAGGTACTTTTCGATACACAGGGACAGTATAAATTTTATTATAAGAAAAAACTAATTAAATTAATTTAATAAGTCATATATTAGAATATTTATTAAAATACAAAAAGTATTAAACTTTTGTTATACTTTTGCTCATATTAAATTCAACGAAATTAATAAAAATGCTTTTAAAAAATGTAGTAATTTTTAAATTTTGTTTACATAAACATAAAAATCATAAGACTTTAATTTTTAAGTAACATTAATTGGAAATAGGAACGTATCAGAACTGAAATTGATACTGCGATACAAGGGAATGGAAAGAAGTATACGATGACATTGTTGCAAAATCTGCCATATTTAGACAGATGTTTAAAGGAATCACTACGATTGTATCCCAGCGTGCATCTCATATCACGTGTTGCTTCAGAAGACATAAAATTAGGTGCGTATCAATTATATGTTGTGTATGTTCTTAAATATGTAACAATACAAAATATACTATTAAATAAATAAATACATGTAATGCATTAAAGAGAGAATATTATGTATTTCTTTAAAAAATATAATATTTCAAAAATTTATTAAATATAATGCGTTTTATATACAATATTAAAAAAATTAACTGTATATCTTTTTATAAGTTCTTTTACGCAAATTCTACATAAAATATAATGTATTTTACATATGTGAGTCTTTGTTTTGCAAGATTTAACGAAGTTTTGAACGTTATTTATATTATACATATATATACTTATTATATATCATTTTTAGATTCATATATAATACCTGCTGGAACATTCATACATATTAATATCTATGATGTTCATAGAGATCCCAATTTTTGGCCTAATCCAGATGTATTTGATCCAGATAGATTTTTGCCAGAGAAAATACGAAATCGTCATTTTTATTCCTACGTACCTTTCAGCGCAGGACCAAGAAATTGCATAGGTAAGTATTGCAATTTTTATTTCTTTTGACATAAACAATCTATTATAAATATATTATATATTATAAATATATATTATATAGATTATATAGATATATTATAAATAACAGGTCAACGGTTTGCCATGTTGGAATTGAAAGCTATAATAGCCCCTTTAGTGCATAATTTTTACTTGGAATCTGTTGATTATTTGAAAGATGTTCGATTTAAAAGCGATCTTGTGATTCGTCCTGCACATCCAGTCCGTGTAAAATTCATTCCAATTGACCGCATTAAATCATGCGATGCAACAACAAATTCTAGCAAGGTAACAGACTAACTAGTGTTATAAATAAAACACAAAATGTATGTGTGGAAACATTACATTTAATTTAGATTTAGAGCACATATCTGCGAATATAAATTGTCGTAATGAAAAAGAAAATTATAAATTAACTTGTGCGTGTCATACATAATAGATTTACTAAATGTATCGATAAATATTATAAATAAAATTTGCATGATAAGAACATTTTTGATAACAGATATCTAAAGTACATATGATATCTAAATACACAAGTGCTTCTTTCAACAATTAGAATTACAAATCAGATGCAACAAATAGAAAATGTTATACAAATCTGATAACATATTATTCTGAATATATTATTAGAAGACACGTAGTACACAAAAGTATCCGCATAGCGGTAAGTCCTCTCGCGCCGAGTTGCTTTCAACCGTCAGATAAACACTACGTGGCGCATGTTTGCCATGTCAAAGAGGTTAAAAAAATTACTAAGTCTTTTACTTTTTTTAAATATTATATAACGTATTAACATTCAAGACCAATGAAAGGACCCAAAGAAGTAATAAAAAAAGAATTTTTTAAACTGTAATTTATTCAACAAAAAATTGTTATCACTTTACTGCTATTATGCATCTTTCTCATATTACTCCTATTCATACTACTTACTAGTGAAGGTAACATAATTCTCATTTCTAATATGTATAATATTTTGAAATGTATAAAAATTGTATTCTTTATTTTTTTATATTCATATAAATTCCGTATTCTGTATTCTAAATTCTGTATTTAAGTACACATAATTGTAAGATGTGGAATATTAATCTCAATGCATAACTAATTGCTGTCATTTTTAAATTATAATATACTTTTTAAGTCTTAAATACAGTCATTTTTAATCATATTTAGTAAAATTAAAAAAAAATAAACAAATAATTTGTTACATCATTAAAAGAGTTATTAACTCAGTTGTCACATGTATTATAAATATTTATGGTTATGGATAATATGGATATTTTATATTTTATCTAGTACAATATGTTATATATTTGCTTTTTCACAATTATAGTTTTAAAACACTTTTTAATTTGATAAGACGTATCTTATTGTATACCTTATTGAAACCGACAATAAATGTATGATTAATGCGCGTTGAATGGTGTTTGTATTTGTTTTAACTCAAATACAAGAAAACTAGCGTGACTGTTCAGCACTTGATGACGTGCGTGTTAGAGCGATATCGAAATGAGTGTAATAATAGTAAAAAATAATTATTTTATGTATTCTAAAGAAATAAAATAAATGTTATATTTTGACAGTTATTAATGTTCAATTATGCTATAGACGGAATTAGCTTTAAAGATAAAAAAATTACAACAATAATAGAAATTTTGTTTGAAATATTTGTGCATGTAAAGATGCCATGAGTTCGAATTTATCTCGGTTAGTGCGGTTGCCGGAATTACTGCTTGAATTAAATGACATGATTGATGTACATTATGAATTGTTTCATATGGTCGATTGAACTATTTTCGAAATATCATGATTTATTTTGACGGTAGTTAAATTATTTACAGCGATAATATGACTATGGTAATGCAATATATGTCTGATATAAAATTAAATCTATTATTTATGTAACTTACAAAAATGGTTTTGCAATCTGAAAATTCTAATAAATCTGAAACTTTGCAAGAATGTAACTTTGCAGAATGTAATGGATATGAATCTAATGGTAAAGTAATTGGTTTGGATTTTTTAGAACTTTGGGATTGTCTAACTTTTCTTGTCAGGAGCCACCAGTGCTGCTTTTTTAAGGATTGATTATAAAAAAACTGTCAAATTTGCATGTGCGGCTAGCTAACACTTTTCAGCGCCGTCAACGCAACTAACGTCTAAAAATTGTAACGCAAACGACGACGATGACTTAATTAGACTTTTTGATATCTTGACTTTTGGACTGTTATATCTTTGTTTATTGAGGATATAAAAAACATATTTTTCTTATATAATTTGAGTATGCACAATAAATTGCTATTATATCAATTGGCCCAGACGTTATTGAGATCTGATAATCTCGGCTCTTCTCAACTTGTTTGCTCGTGTACAGATGCGGGTCACTTTTTTCTACGTTGCGCATGAACTTAGTGTGAGACACAACTATGTCTCATGTAGTAACAAGATATGGATATCAAGGATGAGCATATATAGGGTGACAAGAATACATCATAATCTACAAACAGGTTTTTAAAGTACAACAAATGAAAAAAGAGGTATGTACACAGGTTAAATTGTTTCGAGAGGGACATAACATACTGCACACCTTTATTTTAAGAGTGGAAGCGTTTTGTAAATTTCAAAATTAACTTAATTTTTTTAACCAGAGCCATTTATTTTTTAACATAAATCAGTCCTTCCTATTATTCTGCATATAAAAGTGTTAGGATAAGATATTCAAAAATAATTAGTCCAGGAGATATTTCGATTTTTCGTAGCATATCTTTTATTTAGCGTTTGTTATGAAATTCAATTAACTAAAATCTAATATGAATACTACTTGAGAGATTATCGTAAACATAACATAAAGTAATTGAATATATTTATTTTATGATAAATTATGATAATTCAAATACACTTCATTTGTATTTGTGTTTGCCTCGGACATCAATACATTTTTAAACACAAATCTTATTTTGAACGGCTATTAGCATTTCTGAAGTGATACGTTAAAATACATTTATAACTTTGTTTTTCATGTCTTCGGGACTTGTTGGTTTAATAAAAATAATCAATATTCCTTTCTCCGTGGATTATTGTTGAAGAAATGTTCTTTGGACATAACATTGCTTATAGTGTGATTATAGGGTAGGTCATGATACTTCTGCAATAGCCATATCTTTTACGTTATTATTATTAACTGAGCACAAAGATGTTCAGGTTCTTTTTGATATACAAGAGTCGTATAAATCTTGTTAGAAAAAAAAACACTAATTAAATTAATTTAGTAAGTCATATATTAGAACATCTTATATTACAACATCTATTAAAATAAGAAAAGTATTAAATTTTTGTTATACTTTTGCTCATATTAAATTGAATGAAATTGGTAAAAATAATGTAGCTTTCAATTTCTCTTTATACAAGGTGTCTCCCAGATCTACCTTATGATAAGTCTGGGACACGTTTTATATATAAACAAAAAATAATAAGATATAAATTGATGCTATTTATATCCCAGAGTGCACTTTATATTACAAACTGCTACAAAAGACGTAAAATTAGATGCGTATCAATTATATGTTGCATATATTTTTAACTATGTAACAATACAGAATATACTATTAAATATACATATAAATACATGTAATGCATTAAAGAGGAAATATCATATATTTTATTTAAAAAATAATATTTAAAAGTTTATAAAATATAATGCGTTTTATATACAAAACTCTATACATAAAATATAATGTATTTTACATATGTGGGTCTTTGCTTTACAAGATTTAACAATGTTTTTAATGTTTGACCTCCTCTACTTGTATATGACCGGTGGGGCGATTATTGCCAGACACCCTGTATACAGTAAGAATATATAATAAGTATACAGGGTGTTTTATAATGTCCGTGCCAACGTTCGTGTACGGATAGAGTGCGGTAAACTGAATAGAAAGGTCCTTTACCGTTTTGCAATTTTCGCAATAGTAATTGAGATATTAATTAAAAGGGATTGATGAATAATCGCGCGTTGCGCGTAGCTAGATCGTGGGCAGTACACTTTAAATGTGATAACAACGAGGATCGCATGGCAACGAAAAATAAGACGTAGCGAGAGCAGGAGTGATATGCGTTGTTATTTTTCGTTGCCATGCGATTCTCATTGCTGTCACGCCTAAAGCGTACAGCCTACGATCTAGCCGCGATCAACGCGCGATTATTCGTCAATCCCTTTTAATTAATATCTCAATTACTATTGCGAAAATTGCAAAACGGTAAAGGACCTTTCTCTTCAGTTTACCGCACTCTATCCGTACACGAACGTTGGCACGGACATTATAAAACACCCTGTATACTTATTATATATTCTTTTTAAAATTATATAAAATATCTGCTGGAACATTTATGCATATTAATATCTGTGATGTTCATAGAGATTCCAATTTTTAGCCAAATGCAGATGTATTTAATCCAGATAGATTTCTGCCAGACAAAATCATCATCCTTATTCCTACTTACCTTTCAGCGCAGGACCAAGAAATTGCATAGGTAAGTATTATAAGCTTTATTTCTTTTGACGCAGACAGTTTGATAAATTGTAAATAATGGTTTGCCATGTTAGAGTTGAAGGCTATTATAGCCCCTTTGGTGCATAACTTTTACTTGGAATCCCAGTTGATTATTTAAAAGATCTTTGAAGAACGATCTCGTGCTTCGTCCTGTACATCCAGTCCGTGTAAAATTCATCCCAATTGATCGCAATAAATCATGTGAAGCAACAACGAATTCTAGCAATGTAACAAGCTAACTAATGTTATGAATAAAACACAGAATGTACATATGTGTGAAAACATTACAATTAACTTAGATTTAGAGTGCATATCTGCGAATATAAATTGTCTTGATAAAGAAAAAAATTGTAAATTAACTTGTGCGTATCATACATTATAGATATATTAAATGTATCGCATGTTATAAATAAAATTTTCTATATAAGCAGATTTTAGATATCAGTAATTAAAGTATCGCTATCTACACAAGTGCTTCTTTCCGTACTTAAGTTGTTGCCATGCCATTATATCAAAAACATGATTGCAATAAAATAAATCTGTGATTACCTTATAAGACTGCTACACAAATATACAAAATTATTCATGTTTGAACGTTCAAGAAATTTACACGTAATGTTGAAGATTTATAAAATTTTGTTTTAAAGCTAAAGCATAATATTTTTAGTGGAAATTTCTACAAATGTGATTAGAATGTGCTTTTTGATCCTCGTCGAATGATGCCTAGATCTAGTCAGCTTCAGAAAAAAACACTTACTTGACTATTCAGTACTTTACAACAAGCGTCACTTGTTTGGAGCGATAAATAGGTGAGCGTATCTCGAAACGTATCTTACAATTAGTATATCTCGAAAGTGTTTCTTCTAACAGAGTTTATTGTAATTTTTGAAAGAAATATTAAAATGTTTGAAAGCTAATTTATCTCATTGAAATAAATGTCATTTTTTAATAGCATTTCTATCGTTTATTATGCCAGAATTAATCTTAGAAGTAAAAAAATTATTAGTCGTCCTAACAGTAAAAAAACTTATTTTATAATATTGATACAAGTGAAAACAGTATTGATCCGAATTGACTTATGTGTCGTATTCTGTGCGATTACTGAAATTATCAGTATTGTGAAAGTTAATAAAATAAGCTAATACATTGCTATTTGGACTAATGATAAATACATAATATTGAGGTATTAAATACATTACATCGTAAAAGCTTTAATTTTTTTATTTTAGATAAATTTTTACAAAATATATGTTTTGAATAATTTATTAAGTTGTGTCGCGCTTCGAAGAATGTTATTTATATTCAATTATGAGATTATTTTAAGATTTATTTGTTGTAATGAAATATTTTCTTATAGAGAATATAGTAACACAATGCAACTTGTTAATATCTTTTTTTAATATATTATACATATTTAATATTATGTACAATTTTTATATTTAATTTATAAGGACAGTGCATGAAGTTAATTGTGAATGGGAATGTATTATAATATTGTTGTAAAGGTCTCGAAAATAGAGTCCACTTGTGCAATATTTCTCAAATGGCGGTTCTAGAAGACGCTGTGCGCAATAGAAGCATATATTTTTAATAATCTATAAGTTCATCATTAAGTTCAAAATAATACAAAAAAATTGGAAGAAAAGCAAAACGAGGAGAAAAAAAGCTTTGGAGTCCCATCTGGCTCGCAGCAATAGGCAGCGGTAGGCAGCGCTACAGCACTTCTCGGTGCTCGACTGCTACCCGGTTCTCCGGAGAGGAGAGGCCGGCCGTAAGTCTACCAACTTCTGAACTGTGCTCATAGCATGCTTTGCAGGAAAATATATTAATCAAGACATACGCAATTGGTTCTACTATAGATTTTTTTATACCATTTTTGCATGAATTATATTGCGCAAAGCGTTATCGAGTAGTGCCAAGTTAGCGAGACACAAGTCTCGCCTATTACTGTTGCACAAATAGACTCTACTTGGTGAGACCTCGTCAACGATACATAATACATATCCATTCGATTAATACTTTGTGCTTTGTTAGATATCTCTATGAATATGTAACTATTATCTAATGTTGCATACACCTTTTATGTAACTTAGTAAACGTTACATTCAATATGTGTTCAGATAATGTTTTTTTATTTAATGTATCATTTGCTACGCCTATATAGGATCTGTCTTACATTGCCGTCAAACAGAAACTTGATAGCAGACAGCTATATTATGATCAGCTAAAGTGTACGAAATTTATCAATTCCCGGCTTAGCTACTCGCGCCCTGATATTTTTTCTCTCTTTCTTTCTTTCCAATAATTCCTATACGTACATTAAGTTTCTCGATATATGAGAACAATGTACTTTAAATTTCATACTTTTTAGGTATGTCGATCTGAGATCGGTGTACAATTTAACTGTCTCATGTAGACTAATTTATTAATTTCTTTAAGAAAAATTAAAAATTTAGCACTAACATCCTGCAACGGCTCTTATCTCGCCATTTCATTATATTTCTCGTTTAAATATACCATTTATGTAATTTATTAAATGTATTTTTTTACGTTAACTTTTTTGATACGAGCGTTGACTATAATCGACAACCACCAACTGCAACAAATAGAAAATTTTATACAAATCAATAATACATTATAAGAAGACACGTATTACACAAAAATATCCGCGTAGCAATAAATCCTCTCTCATCAAGTTGCTCTTGGCTGTCAGATAAACACTACGTGGTGCATGTCCACCGTGCCAAAAGGGTTAAAAAATTACTAAATTATTTACCTTTTTCAAGTATAATATAACATAATAAGTATTATATAACGTTTTTAAATATTATATAACGTATTGACATTTAGGAGCAATTAAGGAACCCACAAAAGAGATAAAAGGAAAATTAAGAAAACTGTAGTTTGTTCAACAAAAAATGATTATTATTTCACTGCTCTTATGCATCTTTCTCATTTTACTGTGCCATTACCTTATTCATCATGGAAGATTTTGGCAACTTATCGATCAAATACCAGGACCACCGCCGCTCATATTACTCGGCAATACTCTTTTATGGTGCACCGGTTCATTAGGCAAGTAGAATTATGTACATTTGCAGATTAATGAATAGCATATAAATATTATGTAAAAAATGTTTCTTAGTAAGACACAAAAATATGAACAGTAAAGATGATTTGATTGCACAACATTTTATCGATAACATATACATATAACGATAATCGTAAAATTATCAACTGTAATAATATATATATTTAAAAGCTATAATATTTAATTAGATTTATTTTTATTTTTTATGCAATAATATTTATTATTTTTGATCATTGTATATTTTTATTTTCAATTCTCACACTTAAATATAAAAAATTATGACGCAAAAATTCAGAATAATGATATTGTATTATATTATGATCAATGATACTTGTATCAGAAGTTATACAGATAAAAAGGGGATAACACTTATTCTATAGTTAATCAGTAGCGCACATGTATAGAAATAATTGATTGTAGCTCTTTAATAATTACGTAAATTTAAGGAAATTATTTACCATTTTCTTAAATTTGAATTTCCAGAAGAGCAATTGAAGACTCTGGAAAAATACGTTAATATTTATTATCCTATTGCTAAAATATGGTCTATTCATATTGCAATTGTTATGGCTGGTCATCCTGATGATGTAGAGGTAAAAGAAATATTTAAAGATAAGCAATCTTTATTATTATATTAAAATTTTATTAAAAATATTATTTACTTCTAATCGTTTATTTCTTTAATATTTAATAATTATATATTAGTGTTTGTTCGAACAATATAAGAATAGAAAAATATTAAGTTATCCATACATATATGTATATGTAAATATATACATACATACACACACGCACGCACGCACGCACGCACGCATGCACGCACGCGCACACACCAAATTCATTATAAATAAGGAATCAAGAAAAATCGCCAATTTTTATTGTATCCTGAAAAAAATCACTTAGCGATTCATCCGCTCAAATTAAAGATCCCGTAACCAAAATAACAGCCTAGTAACAGAAATTCTCTACAAATTTTTTTACGTTAGGTGTAACGTAGCAAAATCGTATATTAAAAATTTTATTTTAATGAATCAAACTTTATCATTATACTGTTTTATAAAAAAAAAGGATAATTAAAAATCGCAAGAGGTGTACGAAAAAAGAAGTTTCAAGTTTCAAAATGTTTTTCTTGAAATTAAAATACAACGATTTTTCGCAGAGTTACAATACTTTGCTTTACAATTTTCACCATAAAATAATTTCAGAAATGTGCAATTAGTACAGTTCATTTCGTATCGAATGTTGAAAGATATATAAAGAGTGTCCCACAGAAAGTGGGATATCCAAAACTAATTAACTGTCATTTTTAAATGCATATAAGAAACAAAAAAAATAAAATATTTTGTAACAGAGGACACTTTGCAGTTTTATTTACATATAAATCAAATATTTGTTATATATAAACTAAAAACAATATTTTTATCATTAAATACACGTTTATAAAAAATAACAAATATCATTAATCACATTTTTGAAGTGCGCGCCGACAGAATTACAATAAAACTCATGTCGCTTTTAGAAACTATAACTGTAACTCATGTTACATAAAAGATTCCAAAAGCGACTTAATTTTTGTTATAATTCATTTCAGAAACATATACTATAAAAATGAGCAAAATATGACATTTTTTAATAAATGTTTATTTAATTTATAAAAATATTTCCGATCGTCTTTAGTTTATATGTAAATAAAATTACAAAATATCTTCTATTGGAAGATATTTTACTTTTCTTGAATGTGCATTTATAATTTTTTTCCCTATGTGCCTATTTTTCCCTATTTATAATTCGCAATAATGTGCAATAATAATTTAATAGTTTCAGCAACTTCCCATGGAACACCTCGTATATAGGATACAGGTTTGGTGGGAAACGTGATTAACGCCAGAACTTTTATAAAAAATTAATATGCGAGGAAAAGCTAATTTTAGGAAAACGTAAAAAATATATTTAAAATAAATTGAACAAATAAAAATCGATTATTATTATATTAAATTTTTATAAATGATAAATAATACCGATTTTTATAATTTGTATTTTTATAATTTGTATTTACAGCTTAATACAAATAAGAATTCTTCAAAGAAAAATTAACGTTTGTTAAAACATTCTCTTAGACATAACTGTGTAATAACAATTATACTGTAGCAGGTTAACACACAAATTACATTCCATTTTTGCAATTTTCAATTAAAATATTATTATTTATTACTATTATATATAATCCTTTATATGGTTGTAGACAATATTAAGCAACCCGAAAGAGCATATTGGAAAAGGGTTTATATACACAATGATGCAGCCTTGGTTGGGAACTGGCCTACTTATTAGTGATGGTAACATAATGAATTTAACATAATTCTTATTTCTAATATGTAGAATATTTCGAATCGGAAATGTATAAAAACGGTATCCTTTATTTTTTTATGTTTATATAAATTCTGTATTATGTTAAATTATGTTTATATAATTCTGTACTCTAAATTCTGTATTAAAGTACACATAATTATAAAAAATTAAAAAATAATCTCAACGCAAGACTAATTATTGTCATAATTATATAATATACTTTGTCATATAAATCGAATAATATGGAAGAAAAGTAATTTTTTAGTCAAACTTAGTAAAATATTTTACTTCAAATATAAATTTTAATTACTAAATTTGTAAGGCAAGTATTGAATCCAATATAGTAATTTCAAGTGTTATTGCGATAAAAAAGGATGTTATCTTATTTCTATTACAGGAACAAAATGGCATGAAAGAAGAAAGATGCTAACACCAGCATTTCATTTTAATATTTTGAAACAATTTGTTAATATTTTGATCGAGGAGGGTAATCATATGTCACAATGCTTGAAAGACAATAAAGAATTGATTGTTAATGATTTACTTTCTTTTATTAGTCATCATACGTTGAATACAATATGTGGTACGTCAGTATATATTTACAAAAAATCGTTTCTGCAAAATTATTTCGACATAATCAAAAAATTATCTTAAATTATATAATACGAATCATTAAACAAATATATTATATAACTTATTACGATTGAAATAAAAATCATAATAAATATTTATATAACTTTAACAATTTAGAAACCGCTATGGGAATTTCTATGAAAGATATGGGCGAATTTCAGCAACAGTATCGCGAAGCAGTTCATGAAACCAATCAAATAATCGTCGCTAGGTAAGTATGCAATGCAACTTAACAAAATGTATAACTATTTGCAACAACACATTTAAAGATATTCGTCATTTTAAGAGGATGTTTGAATATAAATATAATAGTTATATATGTAATATTTATATATAATATAAAGTTTTGATTAATGTTTTATAAAAATATTATCGTGTAACTTAAAGAATCATTTAAACTCACACACAGACTTTAAATGTAATGCTATTGTTCCCTTATATAACGTTATATAATTGTGGACACAGATTAGCAAGACCCTGGCTTTATCCTGATGTGATATTTGCACTTTCGTCACTGGGTAGAAGGCAGGCTAAGAATTTAAAAATATTGCATGGATTCACCGAGAAAGTGAGTGAGAATCGTGCGTTATTAATATTTTACAGAATTTTTGTGTAAATATAGTCATAATAATACTTTAGTAAAATTAAAACAATCTAATTCGTATGTCAGCAGTACATTTAGCAGTACGACAGTATAAATGATAATCAGAATTTCTATTATTTTTTTTTTAGATTATTGCGGAAAGAAAACAATTTCATAAAAGCACAGACGGACAATATTTGAAGCAATTTCACAATGATTCAGTAAACGACGATGAAGATATAATAGGAGGTATGACCTTACACACATATGTATATAAAAGTATAAATATGTGTACTTGTATGCGTACATATGTGCGCTGCGTGTTACAGGATGTGTAAGTTTTCTTACCATAATCGCGCGCGCGTGTGTGTGTTGGATTAATCCGAAAATTTTCCTTTAGATTTTGCACATAGAATTTTGTCAAAAATTCGAAGGAAATTTCTGTTCAATTCAATAAATTAAATACAACATATATTAAACTAAAGTAGTGTAATCTTTTTCAGCAAGAAGAAAGCGATTAGCTTTGTTGGATCTTTTGATAGCGGCGTCCTATAACAATAAGATGAGTGATTTGGACATCAGAGAAGAAGTTGATACCTTCATGTTTGAGGTAAATATCTGAAATCATTTACATATACAGTCCACTCTGGTATTAGGGTTAGTAACGAATCTGTAAGGGTAAATAATTTACCAAAAATGTGTGTCCTTACTGCTCCAGTATACTTAAGTAACGGAAGAGAATTGAGATTATACTCTTGCATTGGAGCCGGCTTAAATACTTATTTATACATCGATTTGGTTGTATCGTGACACATGTGTGAAATACACTTCTACATTCTCGTCATACGTATACATCTTTAAGTAAAACCTAGTGAAGCCTGACGTAGTTGCAATGCAATTGTTGATTTATGCGAGATTCACCAAATATTTTTTTTATGATGACATGGTGGGAAAACAAAAAATTCAACAAAGACAAGCCCAGCTTCAATGCCAGATTAGACTGTATTAAGTAATAATATAACAAATATATGTGTAACAATGAAAATTCTAAATATGTTGTCAAATTACTTCAGACAAAAACAAATTATTTTATATAAGAATGCTTATTTATATATGACTTATTAAATAAAATAATCATTCCTACTTTAATTTTTGTACAAATATGATAGAATAAACAACGATGATATTTTTCTGAATGATAATTGTCAATAAGATTGATATAGAATTGTTCATTTTTTGAAATATTTGTTCGATATGGACGCAATATATTCAAAAATTATATGAAAAGAAGGACTTTAAAAAGTTAACAATATTAAAAATATTTTAATTTGCGTTTTATTTGGTAAGTCTTTTTATAAATGTCGTCTGTACATAACGCACAGAAATAAACAACATATCTTCTTTGCATAACAGGGTCACGATACAGTAGCAATGTCTATATGCTTCACGATATTATTATTGGCTGAGCATAAGAATATTCAGGTATATTATACATAAATGATATATTTTTAAACACACACAATAAATACTTTATTAACAGTATTGACTAAATATTTAATCAATATTATTTGTGTTTTCTGATAATATTTAAAAAATCGTTAAGATTATTAGTGTAATAAATAAATATGCAAAAGTATTCTGCTTTAATTTGTAATAAAATAAGATTGTTATGTGTTTAAATACATCAAATTAAATATAAAAAGATATATGTTTTTTTTATACTATGTGTGTGTCGCATATATAATTTAATGACAAATGCAAATCAAATAAAACATGTAAAAATTTGTTAAATAATGTAGGATCGTGTCAGAAGAGAAGTTAATGCAGTGATGCTAGAGAACAATGGAAAACTTACTATGACAGCATTAAACAATATGCCATACTTGGAAAGATGTTTGAAAGAATCGTTGAGACTGTATCCTAGCGTTCCTAACATAGTGCGAGTTGCGTCTGAAGATGTAAAGATACGTGAGTAATTAATAAAAAATATTTTTGATATCCTGGATGATCCACATAATTATGTACATTTGGAAAATGTTATTTCTTTACATCTCGGCAACTATGCAATCGATTTTAAAAGTATAAACTTTGAATTGTATAGGTCTGAATGATCTTTCAATTAGAAAGGAAGTTAGTCTCCCAATCCCGGTTGCAGGGATGGGGGTAAACATTAAAATTTTAAATAGAAATTTTTAACTGGAATTACATTTCCAGATTCTATGAAAGAAAAGAAGTTGTTATTGAAAACATTTTTTTGTCAGATAATTCTTTGAAAAAATATGACGGATTAAAGTTTTGGTTCAAGTAACTACTTGAAACGCTTGGGAATAGTTATAATGAAATCAAAATCAACACTCCATTCTGACTTATTTTATTTATTAAATGTTAAAAATGTTCATTATGGACTTATAAACATTTATTTTTTTGAATTAGTAAAGTATTTTTAATATTTAATAGCATTTCAAGAAGATAAGCGACGCATGCGCTAAGTAGTTTGGTGACTCTCGAAATGCTATCAAATATTAAAAATACTTTATTAACTCGGATAAATATATATTTACAAGTCTGTGGTGAATATTTTGAACATTCAATAAATTAATAAGTCATAGTAAAATGTCGTGATTTTGATTTTTTATGATTATTCCTGATCGCTTTTAATAACTATGAGCCAAAATTTTTAATCGTTATATTTTTTCGAAGAAATATCTAACAAAAATATTTTGGATAAAACTGAGTTATTTTTTTTTATAGAATTTGAAAATGTAATTTTGTATAAGAATTTCCATGAAAAATTTTAATATTATCCCCTATCCCTGCAACCTTGGATTGGGAGATTAACTTCCATTTCAATTTAAAGACCAGTCTCATTCAGTTCAAGATTAAACTTTTGAAATCAAATTGCATCATTTCCGAGATCGAGTCATAAAGAATTATGTGGATCACCCTGTATATTTTTATAAATCTTTAAAAGAAGATATGCTCATATTGATAAATCAGCTAGTTTGTGATTTTATATTGAATTGTTTCCAACGTAAATATTATTTTAAGGAATTAGTAATTTATTGTATGAAAAAAAAACTTTTATTTAAAACAATAATTTATATAGAAATGTTTATTTTACAAACTAAACATCTCTTTGTAATTTATTCTAATAAATTGCACTTTGTTTCATGATTCTTTCAGAATCATATATTGTGCCTTCTGGAACATTATTATATGTTCCCATTAAAACCATTCACAGACATCCCGATTTATGGCCAAATCCAGACGTGTTTGATCCAGACAGATTTTTACCAGAAAATTGTCAAAATCGTCATCCTTTTTCTTATTTACCTTTTAGCGCAGGATCACGAAATTGTATAGGTAATATTTGAAATATTAATTTCTTAATATGTAAACGAGTTCTAATGTTTTTAGAAATGTTTGAATGTTAATAGGTCAGCGATTTGCCATGTTCGAGTTAAAGGCTACAATAGCTCCTTTGGTGCATAACTTTTACTTGGAACCTGTTGATTATTTGAAAGATTTTCGATTCCGGTTAGATTTATTAACTCGAGTTGTACATCCAATTCGTGCAAAATTTATTCCAATCGAAAATGCAGCCATTTAAAACTAATTAAAATTTTAAAAAAGTAAACAAATAATTTGTTACATCATTAAAAGAATTATTAACTCAGTTGTCATATGTGTTATAAACATTTGTGGTTATGGATAATATGAATATTTTATTATA